ACGCTCCGACGTTCAAAGAGTAAAAATCTCTGGACTAACTCCTTGAGCTTTTCGCGCACTATTATCCATTACCAGTAATTAATCCTGCTTGGAGTCCGCGACTACCTCGAGTCAATTTTCGGGAATTAGATCACAACGAATGATTTATCGTGGGTTCCCGACGCGTGGCGGTTGACGGGGTGCAAAATTACCCGTTACGTGAACGTGACAGTGATCTGTGCATTGGACACATTAACTTTCAATATTTACTAACTTAACTTCCGAAAACCAATAGTATACAAAAAGGAACTGTGAAACCTGTGTTTTTCTCTAAATGAAACTCGGAATTTAGATATATCAATTCTAAGGACGAAATAGACCAAAATCGAATACCTGAAACAACCCCTACTATCTGGATTAGAACGAGAAATAAAGGGTGTTCAATATAGAGCAAGTGAGAACCAGTAAATCCATCTCTCCTGCGCGTCTCGCTAGTCTGGGTGCGAATGACCTCTGTCTCTCTCCGATAACGTGATCAAAATTTTAGATAATTAACATCAACCGTTTTTTTTGTGTTTCTTCAAACTTGTCAAAATTCCTGTACATGCAAACTTCCTTGAAAACATTCTAAAGAATAAATAGCTATGATAGTAACTCTATTTCCTAATTCTTTATTGATTGACCTTATTCGGGATCGCTCGCTGACTGTGGATGTGCCTAGCACTTCATAGGTGGGTAACCATTATACAAAAATAATTATTTGAACTTGGAACTGAAATAGAGAGAGTAATACGCCTTGCACTATTATCTACTCTAATTTTCCTGTTTCCAACAGTAAAATTGGTGTCAGAAGTGGGATACCTAGCCCACTGTCTGCGAGAGATTTTGGAAATTCAGATCATAAACAATCGAATTAAGAAATAAAAAATTTCTCTTCTTATATATTTATCTACACATATTATCAATCAAAATGACTCCTGAGGAGAGGGCTCAACAGTTGCAAGAACAAATTGACAGATTGACCATGGAGAACGCGGATCTCACCCAACGGGTCAATGACAGGCGGAGTACAACGACTACCGCAAACAATACGACTGTCAATCAGACAATCGGCCCTGAATTCGTTGACTACTTTCGAATTAGGGACTTATTCGATACTATCCCATTCTTCGACGGTAAACCCGAATCTGAGATCGATTGTGTAGAGTTTGAACGAGTGGTGAAATCGCTGATAACACGAGTCGGTGACGCGAACGAAGACCTCGTTTATTCGGTTGTCGACAAAGTCGGCTTCCCCGCTCGATACTATCTCGATGGTACTACCCGAACAACAGTCTCTTCAATATTGACGATATTAGGTGCAAAATATCTAAAACGATATAGCCAGTCCTTTTATGAAAATCAAATCGCAGCTATGCAGCTCAGAGAGGGAGAAGAAGCCGATGATTTCAATTTGCGTTTACAACGCGTATTGAAAAATGCCAAAGCATCCCTCCAAGCCTCCTTCCCAGATGAACATGAAACTCTACTGAGTGTCATTGAGAAATTTGCCCTAAAGAAGTTCGAAAAAACGATCCGTCCCGAATACCTGAATGATGTGAAACGAAAAAATTGCAAATCTTTGAAAGACGCTTTCAAAGTAGTCTTACCTCTCGTTGATGAAGATCGATTATTCTCAACTGCCGGACATATGGCAATTTCAGAGGATAGAACTAACAATCGGTCACATTACGGCCAGCAGAGTCAAAACCCCCAACGTAAAGGTGATTTCTTCAATTCCCCTTTCGACTCATACAGAAGCAGGCCTGACCAATTCCATCGCAATCCCAATCACCAAAAACGCTATTTCAATAATTCCCAGAACAGGTCGGGATCAGGTTATCGATTCAATGGTGATAATCGTCCATCGGGTAATTCAGACAATTTCCCCATTTTGGCAGCCATGAAAACTATTCTCGAGAACGAAGGTTGGATCCCACACAGGTGCAACTGCACGTATTGTGGAAGAAATCCCTCTCAACCTCACGATCCGCAGGATCATTATCAAAGTATTGCCCAACCTGCAACTGTGACAAACGACTCGGGCTGTATCCAGAACATTGATGACGCCCGAAACAGTCGGAGTCCCTCCCGTGCTAATCAAGGCAAGAATTCTCGCAGTGGGTCTCGCGAACGATCAAGTGACAGACGTAACTACAGCCCCAGACGAGACCAAACCCAATGTCAACCCCACACTAATTCGAATAATCGAGACAATCCCAATCGTGACAGCCAAAACTCTCAGTCTTTAAACTTGGGAAGGTGCTCGCCCCCAACAGGTGGGAGCCAGCAGCCCACACGACTCATCGAAAATTCAGGTCCACGACCTGATCAACAAATCTTCGTAAAACCCATCACCCTTTCCAAAGCGTGTCCCGTAGTGAGATTACGTCATCCATTTCTCAGGGACAAACAAGCAGAGATTTTACTCGACACGAGAGGAGAAGAAAATTTAATTTGGATCGAAGCTCTCAACCCCTCAATCTATATCGATCAATCCGAGAAAACTTTTGTCGTCGGAATCGGCGATGGTATATTGGGTTCTTACGGATTCACCGAGATGGAGATAAGAGGAGTCAAATTCAAATTTTTTGTTACTTCTCAACCTCCAGGTGGTTTTATGGGTATGCTTGGACTCAAATTTTTACAGGATCAGGAGGCAACCATTTCCTATTGCACCACGACGTTATCATTGAAAGAGAAGAATTTCCCATTCACGTTAGATATCCCAAGAGCTGTAGACAGACTCACGATATGCGCCGCCGGCAGAAATCCGTGCATTTTCGTTAGATGTCCTAAACTAAAATCAGGGGGAAGCACCATGTTAATTGATTCTGGTGCCAGCCTCAATTTGATCTCGATTCAGGTACTACGTGATCGCAGTCAAATTAAGGCATGGCTACCGAGATATTCATTTGGTGTAGCTGGGGGGGAAGCAACCCATCATAGGGAAAATAATGATCAAGATAGAGGGTATTCCTACCGAATTTAATGTAATATCAGAAATGAGTAAAGGCCCCTATGATGGCATTATTGAAAATCAATTTTTAGTCAACGAAAAAGCCGAGAGTTCTTTCTCATTGAACACATTAACCTTGAAATCCATCCCGTTGAGACCATTACCTTTCTACCAGACCATGATCCCTGGCCAACCCATAACCCTAGACGCTAGATCCGAGCAGTTGGTCCCCATCCAGATAAAAGGTAACGTTGATGAAAGGAGATACGTCAAGAAAGGGAGCATCGCCAAAGGTATTACATTACTCGACGATGAAGTGGAAATCAACAACGGCATATTTTGGGGTAGAGTTGCTAACGAGAACGACGAAGCCATCGAGATGAACATCCCAGCTCAACGTCTCAAGCCCTTCGCAGTCGCAATGTGCGCATTCGAATTCGATCAAGTAGGGTTGAAATACGTTGACAACATCTTCGGAGAACCTGACTGGGACTCCGAACTCGATCCAACCAAAATGCAAGCGGACACACGCCTCGGAAAAGCCGGAGAAATACGGTGTATGGGAATCAAAGACCCGAACAAATTGAAACCACTCCTGAAGACGATTCAGAAGTACGCGCATGCTTTCACACTACCGGGCGAACCCAGTGGCAAAATCAGAGGGGCGGAGTGCCCAATCAGAACGATTGATGAAAAACCAATCTCAGTGCGACAGTATCGATTCCCGGAGAGTCTTGAAGAGGAAGTAGCTAAACAAATAGAAAAATTGCTCAGGGATGGAGTGATTGTACCATCAGTCTCTCCCTATAACTCTCCACTTTGGATGGTTCCAAAAAAACCCGATGCGAACGGCAACAAGAAATGGAGGATGGTGATTGATTTCAGAGCCCTCAACAAGAAGACTGTACCTGATAAATACCCAATGCCAAACATCCGTACTGTAATATTAAAATTCGGGGGATCAGATGTCTTCTCCACCCTAGACCTAGCCAGCGGGTTTCATCAAATAAAGATGAAACCTGAAGATCAAGAAAAAACTGCCTTCTCTACACACAACGGCCACTACGAGTTCACACACATGCCATTCAGTCTTGTGAACGCAGGGGCGATCTTCCAACGCGCAATGCACGAAATGTTAGGCGATTTTATTGGAGACGGTGTACAAATCTACCTAGATGACATCATCATTCACACCTCGGGGATTGAAAAACATCAGGAACTACTCGAGAAAGTCCTCTGGAGGTTAGCTGAATTTAGAGCCACTCTTCAGGCGGAGAAATGCCAACTATTCCGCGATGAAGTTTGTTTCCTGGGATTCATAATTAGCAAAGAGGGAATAAGACCTGATCCAATGAAAGTACACGCTATTGTGAAACTCAATGCTCCGACGGATAAGAAGAGTCTACGCACTTTCCTGGGCATGTGCAATTATTTCAGCCGGTTCAAAGAGTGGTACGCACCCAGAGCTAAACCACTGTTCAACCTAACCAAGCAGAAACCGGAATGGAATTGGGGACCACGTGAAGATCTGGCGTTTAAGGAACTACAACTGTTCCTCTCCCAAGAACCATTCTTACGTCACCCAAGAAACGACAAAAAATTCATCGCCACAATCAACTCATCACCAGTTGGAGTCGGCGCTGTGCTGACCCAGCTAGATGACGATGGTATAGAAGGACCAGTAGCCGACGGTTCAAGGCAGATCCAAGATGCCGAAACCCGATACACCAAGGATGAACGCGAGTGTCTTGCCGCAGTCTACGCTCTCAATCAATTCAGGCCGTATATCTACGGCCAACACTTCGATCTTTATGCCGAAAGTGCAGCGGTCACATGGCTGCAGGACACCTAAGACCAAACCACCAGGAAGGCGTCTTTCAAAACCAAAATTGCAGGTTTTGATTTCACAGCCCACCACCGTACTGCGAAAATAAAGCAAATCGCCAAAGTCCTCGCTAGCAATCCAGTTGACCCTCCAGATACGGATGAAGACGCTCGAAACTTCGATTACTTCTCTATAATGATGCACAGGAAATTACCTGAAATGAAAGGGAGAACCGAGTCAAGACATCAAGCTGAACCACCCAAGAAGAGAGGAAGACCCCCAGGGTCGAAAAACAAAGCGACTGACTCACCAAAGCTTGATACCCAAGGGCCATCAACAGCAAGACCTCAACCAAGGCCTCGCATATCATCAGCCCCAGCAGTAGCACAGAGAAGCACGGAATCACCAGGAGATACCATCGCCTCCAGACTGAGACCTCGACTCGCAACTCAGCCTGAGGGAAGTCCCGCTTCCGTTCTCAAATTCCAGAAACCTGGTCCTCGCCCTATTGCAACCTACAAACCTCGACAAACATCTCTAACACAAAAATCTCCCATCTCAAAACCCTACGTCCCCTCCCCTCCAAAACCTGCCCTGCTGGAGCCTGAAGAGGAAGACTCCGTCGAAAAATCAGAACTCGAGGCAGAGGTTGTTGACGAGGAAGTCTTCGTAGAGATCCCCAAAGAACCAGATAATCCAGCACTAATTCTAATCAAAGAAAGCCCGAGAACAGATTCAGATTCAGAAGACGAAACCGCTGATGAACCACCTCTGGATGTCCCGCCAGGAGAACCAGTTGAGAGTGAAGAGGAATGCGAAGACAAGGGGGAAGAAACTGCGGAAGTCTCACCAACATTCATGCAGTCGATAAACAGATCATTCGCTGAATTCGATAAAGCAATCGCAGAAAGGGAGAATGAACCCGAGGAACCAACTGAGACCGAGTCTTCCGTCGATGCCAGCTGCGAAAATATTAAAGAATCTGCTGACTTGCTGTATCAACAATACCTGCTGTAATTAAGCCAATTATCAGAGAAGAATAAATCTGTGAGGGCCCCAAAAGAGAGTGACGACACGATCAGTGAACTGCCACCCCAGAATTCCGAAGACACACGAGGAAAATCTGCTGTCACCCCCGCTGTTAGGAAACGAGTTTCTTTCGCCCCCACTCCAGAAATTGGAGAAGAACCAATGGCCAGATCCAGCCCTATGGTGCAGACCATCGGTAAGGATGTCGAAGCTCCCCAGGTCAGAAGAATCCTCAGTTTTTCCGGTCCTAAAACCCCTCCAATCGACTCTCATAATGCCCCCTCCGTAAATGATGTTATCGAAGTTCCTCAGCCTAACATCCTGCTCCCGAAACCCCGTGTCGGTGTGGAGATCCCTTCCTCCCTCTCTTTAGAAGGAGTATTCGATATCGATGAAAGGGGAGAAGTCGAAAATCCACAGATGCAATACTCTAGGGACGGTCTGACACTCAAGCGCGATAACATTGTACACTTCTTATCAGCAGATTTCAAACTTACAGCTCCAATTGGCAGATTATTGCAATCCACAAAATTGATTGATATCAAAACCCTGAGAAATTACAAATGTAAACCGGGAGACGTATTCATAACTCCCCTAGGTAAATTCAAAACATTTTCCTTAATCATGAAAGAATATCACTTCCGCAAGCCTAAAATTCAAGATGTACTGCTAGGATTGTACAATCTCCGCGATGCATTAATTCATTATGGGTTAACGTCATTCAGAATCGCTAAAGAGGGGGACGGGATAGACAATCTCGGATTAAGCTCAATGTTGGAAGAAGTTTTCGAGGGAGACCCGGTCGACATTACGATCTGCGAAGGTAATGTTAACACCCCAGACGAACTCCTCAGACCCAAAATTATTGAAGAAGCCCATAACAGCTCGGTGGGTGGTCACAAAGGGGTAGGGAAAACTGTCTGCCGGATAAAAGAGCGATTTTACTGGCCAGGTATTACTTCCCAAGTCACAGAATACATCAGGCGCTGCAAAGTGTGCAGGCAAATGAAGGTCAATAAGGTGAAGACACGTCAACCAATGGTCATCACGAAAACACCCCTAGAGCCATTTGAATTAGTAGCCATTGACACGGTGGGCGCGTTATACCCAACTAGCCAAGGGAATGTACATATTCTGACAATACAGGACAACTTGACAAAATACTGTTTAGCTGCCCCTATTCCAGATTTAAAGACCTCGACAATCGCTTTCGCATTAGCATCTACACTGTTTGCGGTCCATGGCGCACCCAAAGTGCTACTCTCCGATAGAGGCACGAGTTTCCTAAGCAAACTATTCGGTCAAGTTGCAAAAATTTTCCGTGTGAAACAAATTTCTACTTTCGGTTATCATCCCCAAACCAATGGGTCGCTCGAGCGTAGCCACCAACCTTTAGTTGATTATTTGCGAACCATGATGGCTAGGAATGACGATTGGGACGTGATGTTGCCCTTTGCTATGTTCTCGTACAACACGGCAGTCCATTCAGCTACGGGCTTCACCCCATTCGAATTAATATTCGGAAAAAAGGCGCGTGTCCCGTCAGAATTCCCAGACGAAGAAACACTAGAGACCTACGATGCCTTCATAGCCAAGCTAATCACTAAACTCGATCGGATTAGACTTATTGCTGCTGAAAACCTAATCGAGGCCAAACAAAAATCCAAGTTAAATTACGATCGACACGCTAGGCCGGTAGATTTTCAGGTTGGCCAGTTCGTTGACATAGTCAAAGAACCCCGCCGTGGAAAATTTGACAATTTTGAGAAAACTTCATACGAAATTGTAGGAATCTCTGAATTAGGTAATTTAACCATCGAAGACGAGAATGGAGAGAGACGTGTCATTCACCCTGATAAGGCTAGACTAGCAGTAGATTAAGGTTACTCACTCTAAACAAAATTACTCTGTCTAATCGTTGCCATTCATTGCAATACAGAAAAAAAAAAGGAAGAAAATTAAGAGGGGGGAAGACAGGAGGGAGCGAAGATGAAGGTCCACGTAATACTTCTCCCCGCGCTACCATCAACGATTGCTGGACAACCCGTCGACCAAGGTGACAACGACCAAGTGACGATCGAATACCTACCTAACAACCCAGGATTGTTTTACGAACGTCTGCAACCCCTACAGGTCGTAAAGAAGGAATGGCAGCTAATAGTCGTCATAGATTTCATGTCCTTCCACGACACCATCGCGAAAAGTCTGTACCCTCGATTTAAAAGTACATGGGACCAGTGTTTGACTCATCTTGGGGGAAACTGGAAACGCATACTCAAAACCAATCAATACCTAGCCATGCAGCGAGAAGCAGAGACGCTGAATCAACATCTCGAAGATCTGTTCCAACCATCAAACGAAGATCATGACGAGAATCGAGGAAGGAGGACCCCATTATTCGTCTTCATCGGGACGTTGCAACACAAGCTCTTCGGGGTCATGGACTATAACGACCATGAGCATATTAACAAAGAAATCAATAAGCTCTATCGTAGCCAAAACGAAATCACCCACATCATTAACAACTCGACCCATTTGATACGTTCTGAAATCGAGAAATTGATTGGGAACATCGAACAATCCAACAAAAATCTTATGATTTTGAAAAACATGACGGCAGATCTACAAAACGAACAAAATAGACAAGCTGACGCAATTCTTGACCTCCAATTAACCACCAAGTTCAACCACATCGGCGATGAAGCAGTAAGTTCTATGAGAATCCTACTCGAAACCACCAGAAAAATTATTGAAGCCGTGGACGCCGCAAAACATGGGCGAATCTCTCACGTCTTTCTAACCCTGGACCAGCTATACCAAGTTGTCCAGAAGATCCAGACGGAACACCCAGAGTTGGAATTCCCCATTCCAAGGGGGAAGACTGACTATCCCGCATTGTCGAAAGTCAGCTCGATTCACCTAGGCCATACCCATGGGAAAATCCTTGCCATCATCAACCTCCCATTGTTGGGCAGAGAATCGTTCCAGTTATTTCGCATGTGCCCTTGCAAAAGACCTCAACAAAATAACGGCAAGAAGATCGCAGCGCATATAAACCCAACGAAATCGTTCATCATCGTCACTGAAGACAAACACCATTACTCACTCCTCGATCAATCAACTATTGACGATTGTGCATTGCTTAGAAACCGAATGATATGTCCGTCAACCTTTCCCATCTCAAACTCCATAATAAAACCAACATGCGAGATCTCTCTATTATTAAAATCAACGATGGAGACCTTGAAGACATGCGACATAAGGATCACGAAGACCCAGGGAACGGAGTGGACCAACCTCGCAACATCTAACAAATGGATTTTCGCGAACACCGAGAGTGAAACCGGATACCTCTATTGCAGAGGCAAATCAGCAGGCACCGTGATGATCAACGGCACCGGATTACTATCCCTGGACCAAGATTGTCACCTCCAGACTCCAGCTGACCTAATCTCACACATTGGCAAGATGGCAACATCAGAAATAGAAATACACCTTCCGCCAATCAACCTAGACCTCGGAGTACTGGCCCCGAAAATCACCAAAGGGACATTCCGCCCCAACTCTCTTACGGATATCCAAATTGACCCGCTCCCGATGTTGAAAGACCACCCAGGATATGAATTACGTCTAGACGAAGCGGAACAACGTCTCGAAGAGATTGGAGAACAACATCAGGAAGAGTATCACCACAAAATCATCACTTTCGGATCCATCGGTGGGCTAGGTCTATTGTCCATCGCAGGGCTTGGTTACATGTGTTGTAACCAGCAGATCGCCAAAAATTCCCTCATATGGCTATTCAGCTGTTGCCGCCGCGTTAGATGGTCACCTAAGAAAAGAACCAATATTGAAACCCAAAACCAAGTTCCGATTAATATGAAACAACTCACCAGCTTCGCCACGCAAGATCTCATCAAAGCGCAATCAAAACCAATCCTCAACGTGGACCATCCACAAGGAGTGCCAGTCTACAAGATCCTCAATCGAGCCCCGTCGCTTGAAACAACAGCTCCTCATGCATTTGCGCGCACCGGACGTCCAGCTCTCGACGTTTAACGCTCCTCTATCAATCAGCAATAGTGATAAGTAACAACGTCCCACGGTAAGGAGTTAACCTTAATTTGGTCACCTAATCCACTGTGACATCCGTCGAAATTGTTTAATTTAAATTTTCTTTCGAAAAATATTTTAATTAGTATTCAACGGAAAAACCGTTGAAATAGGAAGTTTTTTATCGCGTTGGAATTTTTAGTTGAAAAGGCCCGAAGGCCTGCTGCAAGTCGTAAAATCGCAGTTACATTTTCCGTGCTGACTTTTCCCCGAAAAGTCAATCGTAAAGTAATAGACATGGGTCAGGGCCTTGTCATGCTGAAGGCATTTCAAGTGCACGCCCAGTCTTAGCTCTCTCTTTTGCTTTGTTTCATAATTCGGACGTGACGTGTACAATGGACAAGTACATTGGGGAAACTCAAACTGTCCCTTATTTTAGCTTGGGGTCTGTTTTCTTTCAAGGCCAGACCCTCATAAAACCAAATCCGAATTTCCGTCCCTTTTGGAATCTTAATGGGGGTTCTTCGAGTTTCTCTTCGTAACGGGAAGTCATAAATTTATTTTTGACAATTTTCAAATGTTTAAAAAATATTCTCTTAAATTAATAATTTCAGTACAGTTTAATTGCGAATTTTCTGACAAGTATTTTGATATTAAAAACTTTCCGTTAGGACAATTTTAACTTATACTTTCGAATGATCTTCAATTCGAAAGAATATTTTTATTCAATTAAAATATAGATCTCGTTACGAATTGAACTCCGTTCAATTCTCTTTATGAAAAATTATTTCATTTTCGTTTTCTCTTCATTTTATTTTTCTTTTCATTTACGGATTCAAATAGTTAAATTTTTAACTCCATTCATTTTAATGTGAGGGAATCATATCTTCTGTATTTCTATTTTCGAAATATGTATTTTAATTGAGTTGAATTCA